TCTGTGTAGCTATGGATAAGGGGCACCCAGTGTGAAATTTAATGGAGCGGGCATTTAGATGATACCTCTCATGGAGCTGGTGGGCCAGCTGCTCCTGAGTAAATAAGACCCTAGGGCAGGTCAAGGAGTCAGCAATTTCATTGCCCTGGGCAAGGGGTCCTGGAAGGTTAGTATGTGCACGAATAAATCCCACATAAGCAGGGTGGATGCGCTGCCAAATAAGATGTTGGAGCTGAACTAATAAGGAACGAACCTGGGAGGTTGGAAGAACATATGGAGAAGTTTCTAAAGGTCTAACAATGTTGGCAACATAAACACTATCAGTATACAAATTAAAGGGCTCTCCCTCAAACATTTGGAAAGCCATCAAGCATGCAAACAACTCGGCAGCTTGTGCTGACATCTGCCCTATGGGTACCCTCTTCTGCACCTGAGAAGAAACCACCACCGCGAAACCCTTGGAGGAGCCGTCTGTAAAGACTGAGCGACCTCCAACTAGAGGGTTCTCCTTTAAAATCTTGGGAAAGATCACAGGGTGTTGTTTGAAAAAAGACATCAAGGGGCTGTTGGGATATTGGTTATCAAACTGTGCGCCTGTAGATGTAATAAACAGGGTCCACCCATCATGGAAGATCTGTAGATGTTCCACCTCCTCCTTACCATAAGGAAGGATAATTTTATCAGGACTCTTTCCAAAGGTTTGAATGCTAAACTTGTGTGCCTTCCACAGCAATTGTAAAATGAGATCATAGTAAGGGGTCACTACCTTCTTAGGGGAGGCTGACAAATGTACCCAATAAATAGGACCAGTCTGCCAAAACACGGCAGTGGGCGAAAAGCTAGATGAAAGTACAACCAGAACAAGGGGCTGCCCATAATCTATACGCCAAAGGTGGGCTTGCTCTATACTTCTTAACAATTGTAGGGCTTCCCTGGCCTCTGGGGTAATCTGTCTAGGGGAAGTTGGAGCAGGGTCCCCAGGAAGAATATCATAAAGCGCTTTAAGAGCCCCTGTTTTAATAGAAAGAGAAGGGCGAAACCATTGCACCTCTCCCAAGAATCTCTGCCAATCATGAAGTGTTTTTAAATTTGAACAATCGATTTGGAGTCTTTGTGGCCGGAGGCCAGTTTGTTGAATTTGATGACCCAAATAAGTATAAGGGGTCTCTTTTGGATCTTTTCAGGAGCCAAAATAAATCCGTGAGCCTCCAGAAGTTCCTGTAGCTCTGCAAAGGCTATGTAACATTGTCTTTCTTCGGCCGCGGCCAAAAGAATATCATCCATGTAGTGGATAATGTAAAGATCAGGGAACTTACGTCTGAGGGGATCTAAACAGGCAGCTACATAAATCTGGCATATAGTTGGACTATTAGCCATCCCTTGGGGGAGCACCACCCATTGGAAGCGAAGGGCAGGCTCCCTAAAGTTAATCGCAGGAAGGCTAAATGCAAACCTAGGACTATCTTGAGAATGCAAGGGAATAGAAAAGAAGCAATCCTTCAAGTCAATGACAATCAAATGCCAGTCTCTAGGAATGGCCACAGGCACGGGCAAGCCAGGCTGCAGAGCCCCCATAGGCTGCATGGTCGCATTCACGGCCCTCAAGTCTTGTAGTAACCTCCATTTCCCTGAAGATTTTTTTATTACAAATATAGGGGTATTCCAAGGGGACGTGGAAGGAACCAAATGACCTGCCTCCAATTGTTCTTGAACTAGCTGGTGAGCCGCCCTTAGTTTCTCCGCTGGTAAGGGCCACTGTTCCACCCATACCGGATCATCTGATAGCCATGTGATGGGTATGGGGGCTGGCGGCGCAACAGTGACCCTCATCAAAAATGGCCAAAACCCTTCCTATCCCCTGGGGCCCTGGTCTCCAAAGGGAGGGATGCCACAGGGCAAACCTCTCCCTGTTCTAGTTTACCTAGTTCCCTCCCCGGGCTCCAGCCCCTCCCTTGCATCATCTGGGGGCCCCTGCTTTTGGACTTGGGTGCCTGAGTGGTGAGGACCACTCCCATTTCTTGCATGAGGTCCCGTCCCCAGAGGTTAATAGGGAGGCCAGGCAAAACATATGGCTGGAAAAGCCCTGTGTGGCCTTCAGAGTCTTGCCACTTTAAGATCCTGAGGCTTTTTGGGGCACAGCCTGTCCTATTCCCTGGAGGGTCACTGTCCCTTCCTCTTTCGGCCAGGCGGGGGCCAGAATTTATCTGAGAGGACAGAGAAATCTGCCCCAGAATCTAAGACGCCCCTAAAGGACTTGCCTTCTATCTTTAATGTAAGCTGGAGGCGGTTCTCCATAGTGGCTACCCAAAATGCTGCCGGGCCGGTACTTCCAAAACCTTGGTTGCCCCTTTTCTCTTTAATTTTTCTAGCCTCACAAGGAGCTGTAGGGAGAAGGAGTAACTGAGCAATCCGTTCTCCTGCAGGGATGGCAACAACCCCACTGCCCACTGATGTCATTATTTTAATCTCCCCCTCACTATCCTGGTCTATAACACCGGGATGTACCTGGATGCCTCGAAGAATAGTACTGGACCGTCCCAAGAGTAGTCCGACCGTGCCTGGAGGCAATGGCCCATGCACCCCAGTAGGGAGGGCCTGGATCCCCATTTCCGGTGTTAGGATTGCCCGGGCAGAGGGAGCGAGGTCCAATCCTGCACTCCCTGAGGTGGCTCTAAGGAGGTCTGAGATATGAAGGGGTTGCTCTGGGGGAGAAAATGAGTCCTGCCACTGCCCAGAGCAGGGGTCATTGCCCCGTACACATTGGTTTTGGGGCCCTGGGACGGGGCCCTCCTCCCGTTTCCCTGATTATTATTAGCAGGAAGGAAATTTCCCTCCCGGTCAGTTTTAGAGTAGCAGTTATTGGCCCAATGATATCCCCTTCGACAACGGGGGCATAAACCAGGTCTCTTGAGACCCGCAGTACTATTTTGAGGGCACTCTCTACGGAAGTGTCCCTCCCTACCGCAGCTAAAACATGTTTTTCTCCCTCCCAGAGTAGGTCTTTCTTTCCCCACTTGGGGCCGAATAGCAGCAGCTAACACTTGGCCCTGGATGAAGTTCCCATCAATGTCCCTACAGATCCGGATATAGTCATTTAGACTTTTATTGCGATAGGGGCGAAGGGCTTCCTTACAATACTTATTTGCGTTTTCAAATGCCATCTGCTTCGCAGGCCCAATGCCCCCAAATATTCTTTCTGCTACCTGACTGAGACGGTCTACGAAGTCTTGAAAAGGTTCGGAAGGTCCTTGAAGGATTTTGGACAGATGATCCCCTCCTTCCTTGGAAGGCAATGCTTTCCAAGCCCCTTGGGCCGCTGCTGCCACTTGGGCATAGACTGCGATGTCATATTGCATTTGTTGCTGAATGGTGGCGTATTGACCACTCCCGGTAAGCATCTCCACATTTCTCTGGGGTTGTCCGGCCTGTGCATTCCTTTGGGCTGTCTGGCTGCATCTTTCCTGAAACTCACCTCTCCAAATCAAATAATCTCCCCCCGACAGAGCTGCTCTGCAAAGCTGCTGCCAATCGCCAGGTGTCAAATTAAGAGACGCAAAAGATTCCATTAAGGAAAGTGTAAAGGGAGCCTGTGCTCCATAATTTAAAGTTGCCTCTTTAAGTTGTTTTATATCCTTAAAATTTAAAGGGTTATGATGCCGAATGACCTGTCCAGAATTGTTCGGATCTGGAACTTCCATTACTGGGGCCACCACTGGGCAGCATTGGACCCCTCCTCTGGGTCTTCCCTCCAGGTCTGAGAAGGACTGGGTTATCTCATAGGAGGAGTCCCTTTTTTCAGAGTATGGGGAAGGGTTTCTCTCCCTGTCCTGTCTTTCCTTAATTAGAATCTTTTTTAGTTCTTTTTTAAGGGCCGCGATCTCAGCAAGTAACAGTTCCTTTTCAGACTGTGACAAGTCTGAGTCTGAGCTACTTCCATTTTCTAGGTCTGACAGAGAAGGATATAACCGATTCTGACCGGAGTCCTTCTTTTTGGGTCGCACCCGGAGATGTCTACCCTTTTTTTGTTGTTACTAAGAGACTCCTCCTCATCCTCACTAACAATGGAGCCTCTAGTTTCAGTCACGGTCTCTTCATCATCACTCTCTGCCCCTGAACTCAAGGAGGCTTGAGTCTCAGTCTCTTGTAACTCTAAAAAAGCCTCTTTTGTGTCCTGAACTACCTGGTGGTGACGAACCTTATCTGTCAAAAGTGCTCCCCTCACTAATCTCCATAAGGAGAATGTCGTAGGGGGCAAGGACTCAGATCCCTCTTTTCGTAAAAGTCTATGAAGATCACGGCGAACCTCCTCCCAATCTGGAATATTTAAACTTCCCCCAGTAATGAACCATGGACTGGCTCGTTCGATGGATTTTAGAAAGCCTTCTAGGGTTTTAGACTTGACTGCAGTCCCATGTTCTTTAAGTAACTTTTTTAGTTGATACTGTAATGATTCTAGCTTCCCAGAACTATTCCCCATAGTTTCTTAACCCCGTCCACTTACCTCGCTTTCACGATCTCGGTGGGACCTCCAATTGTCACGTCTGCTGCGCGGCCTGTGTCCGAGAACGTGCGGAGGGTGTCGGGTATTGAAAACACAGAGACTCGTTCAATGATATAAAGAGAACTTTAAACAGGCTCCAAAAAGGTTCAAGAAAAACTTCCTAAGAAAGGCTCCCACCAGAGAAGCTTCTGCTCTCTCCTCTACCCTGGCTGGTTCTGCTCTGACACCAGAGGTGGATGTGTGTGGGTTTTTTGAAGGTGCGGTTAGTCTCTGGACAAGGTCGAGGTCAGGGCGGTTTCCGTGGGAAGGCCTTTTCCAGGAACTTATTGTATCATTTTTAGTACACATGTTTTTACTAAACATTGTCTTACAGCTGCCTACTCCCAGGCAGAAGGGGAAGTGGCCAGGAACTTATTGTATCGTTTTTAGTAAACATGTTTTTACTAAACATTGTCTTACAGCTGCCTACTCCCAGGCAGAAGGGGAAGTGGGTCTCTGCTCAAGGTCTGGTGTTCCCACAATCCTCCTGTTGCTGCCTCCCCAACACTGGGATTACAGCTCACACCACCACAGCTGGCTTTTTATTTCAGTACTAGGGATTGATTAAGGTCCACATGTCTGCACAGAAAGCACTTTACAAACTGAGACATCTCCCCAGCCCAGCATTCCTTTTGTTTTAAATTTAAATATGAATGCACATATAAGAGTGCACGCGCCACTGCATGTGTGTGGAAATCAGAGGGCAATCCGTGGGCATTGGTGTGCTCGCTCTCTGTCTCTCTCTCTCTCTCTCTCTGTCTCTGTCTCTCTGTCTCTGTCTCTGTCTCTCTCTCTCTCTGCCATGTGAGTCCCAGGGATTGATGACCAGGCATGGTGGCAAGTGTCTTTACCCACTGAACCATCTCTAGTCCCCTGTCAGTTTTTAAAGTTATGACAGAGATGTGACTGATGGTCTTCAGGCAGACAGATACAGGATACTTAAAGGTTGTGACAATATTTTGTCTAAAACAACCCACTGCTTTTAGTCATTACAGATGTGTCACAGAAACAAGCACTTCAAGTTTGAAAGGGAAAACTCTGACCATGACATGAAGTTACCTCAGAAGTTTGCTATTCACATCTACAACAACAAACATGATTACGCCAGATTTTACAGACCAGGGCATGTTTTCATGAGCCGTGACTGTGCATCACCCAAAATAAACAACAGGACAGCTCTCCCCTGTGTCTCCCTTCCCTCCCTACCTGCTCCCAGATTTCCTGCCTTCACAGATTTCCTGGGGCTGTCTGGTGCCCAGTGAAGCTGTGGATGATTTACCCATCACTTCCTTGCAACTCTGGGTAACTTTTACACAGTGACACTGAATAGCATTCACTCTGAAATCTCTCTTCTGTCATTCCTTAACCTAATAAGTGAACTATTAAAAGAAAGTATAGCAGAGAAATCACAAACTTGTAAATTATGAATGGTAGGAAGGGGGGATTCACCAGTTACTCTGTTACTCCAGTCTGACAAACCCTCCCTCAAGCACCCAGACTGGGGAGCATGTGAGAAGAGGCTAGGCAAGTGAAAACAGAAAATGCAATTACATTTTATTGCAAGAAATTTGGAAAACATATTTTTAACAAAGTTAGCTATTCAAAAGTGTTGCCTTAGGCTGCCTTTTAATAGCTCCTTTTCACAAGTATGAAGTTTAATGGAGGTGGCAGCATTTACAAGCAACACCAAAATGGTATCTTAATTACTAGCCGCATTTTCTGAGGCAACAAGAGATTAAATGGGAAGAGAAATTAGTTTTACAAATGGCTTCATATATCTTTATGTTATACCCCCTCCATCAAGCCACAGATGGTTATCTTGAATTTCCTAATATTACAGGCAATTTTCTTTTCCTTGGGCACACCCAAATCCATCACCACTCTCAATTACATTTTCTTTTGGAATCATTGATAATAGATAAAGCTGTTTTTCATAATGATTTAAAACTTACTGACCACATGACATGGCCTTTTCCTTGTTGGGTTCTATACGGAAAGGAAACTTAAGACTTTCTCAAACTGCTGGCTCTGTAAGAATGCAATGTACTCATAGCATGGCTCTGTGCAGGCCTTGGCTTGATAAAGTTAACTAGTCCCTGGTCTCCTGCTGAGGTCAAAGGTAAGAGCCAGATCTGGGGGAGAAGGGCTGTTACTGTTGTTGTCATGCGATGTGCGTGCGATGTCATTCATGTCTTCGTTAAGAGAGACACTAGGAGTCTGTGCAATTACATACCTCTTTAAAAGCTAATAGCTTTTACTTTCATGTGGCCAAAAACACCCTATCAGAATAACAATCCTGCTGGATGGTGTTGGTACACACCTTTACATTTTGTCTTCTTTTGCAGGCCCCAATCCACACCATGCATCAGACTGACCTCAGGCTGGCCAAGTCCACAGACTTTCTTGTCGCAGAGGACAGACTTCAGGGGAAAAGCAGCGCCAGCCAGGAGGGAAATGCTGCAGAAGTGAGCACAGAGTGGAGCCTGCTCCAGGTGTTCTTGTCCTGCATGGCTGCAGGAACCCAACTGAACTCTATGCTGCCCTCTTGTGGAGGAGTAAGAAGTTTCAGTTCTGCCAACTATTAAACATGTCATTTTTATTAGTTCTCTGAGAATCCTGTACCTGCTTTGACCACTGTAACCCTGCTCCCCCAACTCCTTGCAGATCCACTCAACTTTTTGCTAGGAAAAAAAAAACAACAAAAACCCTTCAGGATCAATTTTTGCTGCCCAAATAGTCTTGGATCTATGGCCTTCCTCTGGAGTATGGTTGACTCTGGCAAGCTATCAACTGACAACAGCTCCTTAGCTAAGGTTCTCCATGCTGGAATTTGGTTGGGCTTGGCTTGTACAGGCCTTGAGCACACTGTCACCACTGCTTTGAGTTCATATGTGCAGCTGCCTTGTTGTGTTCAGAAAACACAGTGTCTTACAGTCGTACATACAGGGTGTGGTGGTCTGAAAAACAGTGGCCCCAACAGACTCGTATATGTGAATGGTTAGTCACCAGGGAGTAGCACTATTTAAAAGGATTAGAAAGATTAAGAGGTGTGGCCTTGTAGCAGGAAGTGTGTCACTGGGAGTGGCATTGAGGATTCAAAAGCCCATGCCAAGCCCACTTTTTTCTGTGCCCACGTATCAGGATGTAGCTCTGAGCTACTGCTCCAGCATCTGCCTGAGCACTGCCATGATACATGCGAGATGATAATGGACTAAGCTTCTGAAAATATAAGCAAGTCACCAATTAACTGGTTTCTCCATAATAGCTGTGGCCTGCAGCAATGCCTATGGAGCAGTTCCTCAATGACCATTGTGGGAGGGCCCAGGCCACTGTAGGCAGGGTCACCCCTTAGCAGGGGAGCCGGGAAGGTACAAGAAAGGTGGCTGGATGTGGGTGTGAGAGCAAGCCAGTAAGCATCCTTCCTCCATGGTCCTTGCTACAGTTCCTACCCTGACTTCCCTCAATGATGGACTATATCCAAATGCTTCCAGTTATGATGTCATCACAGCAACAAGAAGCAAACTAGAGATAACAGAAGCTTCTATAGTAGATTTCCATGACGTTTTCAAAGGTCTTTGGTGTCATTATCCCTCTCCATAGTCCCTTCTCTGTCCTGTCCTCTATTTCCTAACCCCAATTTAACCCTTGCTATTGCAATATCTCCCTTTAACTTTATTGGACTGTATATACTATTACAGAGATACCTACTCATCCCATGTTCATGCTGTCCTATTCACAACAGTCAGGAAACGGAAACAGCCTAGATGTCCATCAACTGATGAATTCCAAACAAAGCAGGCAACACTCCCACTATCATGGAGGAAAACCTGTTAGAACACAAACAAAAGGGGAGGGAGATATTTTTCTGTAGCTGTGACAAAATACCTGACAGAACGATTTAAAATAAGGACTGAAACCCAAACAACAAAACAAAACAAAATTACTTTAAATAATAATGGCCTTAACTGGCTAATCAAAAGATACAGGCGAGCAGAATGGACTATGAAACAAAGTCCATCTTTCTTTTGTCTACAAGAAACTCGCCCTAGGTTTAAAGAGAGGTGCCAACTTAAAATGAAAGGATGGAAAAAGTTATTCCCAGCAGATGAGACCAGGAACCAAGCAAGTATTTATTTCTGTCTTAATATCTGACTTCAAACTAATCAAAAGAAATAAAAACAGCACTTCATTCTAATCAAGGTAACAACTAACCAATAAGACATTATAATGCTAAATATATATGCACCAAACTCAAGTGCATCTAATTTCATCAAAAGCATGCAAGTAGAATTCAAAACGGATTGACACATGATTTCTTTTCTTTTTTTTTTTTTTTTTGCTGTTTTTGTTTTTTTGTTTTTCGAGACAGGGTTTCTCTGTATTGTTTTGGAGGCTGTCTTGGAACTTGCTCTGTAGACCAGGCTGGCCTTGAGCTCAGAGATCCGCTTGCCTCTGCCTCACTAGTGCTGGGATTAAAGGTGTGCGCCACCAACAACCGGCGACATGTGATTTCAATACACCACTTTCTCCAATAGACAGGTCATCAGGACAATAACAACAAAAATAGAATTAAAAGACAGCATGTATCAAATGAGCTTGACAGGTATGTCTACAGAACATTGCACCCAAACACCAAAGAATATATATATACCTTACCCAGTGGCTCTAAATTATACTAGCCTGGAATACATAATGAATCTGGACAAGTTCAGAAATTGTTAAATAATCCCATGTATCCTACCTGACCATAATGCTTAAAATCAACAGCTAACAAATCTCTATTAAGTACACAACTCATGGAGAATAAACAGGAGTGATGAAGAAATCAATTAGAGGCGGTGGCAGCACACGCCTTTAATCCCAGCACTAGGAAGGCAGAGGCAGAGGTAGAGGCAGACGAATCTCCGTAAATTCAAGGCCAGCCTGGTCTACATAGTGAGTTCCAGGTCAGCCAGAACTGTACAGAGAAATCCTATCTCAAAAAGACAAAAACAAAAACAAAAACCAAAAAGGGGGGGTTAAATTTTAATTCCTGGAACTAAATAAAAACTTCTGGTACATACTAAAAGCAGGGTTTTTTTTTTTGGTTTTTTTTTCCGAGACAGGGTTTCTCTGTGGCTTTGGAGGCTGTCCTGGAACTCCCTTGGTAGTCCAGGCTGGTCTCGAACTTACAGAGATCCGCCTGCCTCTGCCTCCCGAGTGCTGGGATTAAAGGCGTGCACCACCAACGCCCGGCTACTAAAAGCAGCTTATAGAGAAATCTACAGCTTTAAGTGCCTACACTAAAAAACTCAGAAATACAAATAGATGATTTAATGATGCAAATCAGGAATGGGGGGGGGGAGAACAAATCAAACTCAAGTCCACTAGATAGCAAGAAATAATAATTAAAAAACAGAGCAGAAATTAATGAACTAGAAACAAAGTAACTGGGGAGTGGTGGTGCATGCCTTTAATCCCAGCACTTGAGAGTCACAGGCAGGATCTCTGTGAGTTCGAGGTCAGCCCAGTCTACAAGAGATAGTTCCAGGACAGCATCCAATGCCACAGAGAAACCCTGTCTCGAAACCCCCCCCCCAAAAGGAATTCATCTAAAGATTGATTCTTTGAGAAGACAAAATTGGCAGACCCTTGGCCCATCAACCGAGAAAAAAAAAAGGACCCAAATTAACAGAATCAAGAATGAACAAAGAAACATTATATCAGAAACCAAAATATTTAGAATATTATCAGGTAATGCTTTAAAACGCTGTTCTCTGTTAAGTTGGGAAATCTAAAAGTGAATGAATTTCTAGATTCATCCAAACCACAGAAGTTAAACTAAGAAGAGATCAACAGCCTAAACAGATCCATACGAAAGTAGGAGATTGAGGCAATCACAAAAACTCTTCTGACTAAAAGGATGGATTCACAGTGGAATTCTACAAAAAAAAAAATCATACAAATACACTTAAAACCAAAAATCACATGTTTATCTCAAGAGATGCAGGAAAAGCCTGTTGAAAAACTCCAACATGTTTTCATGATAAAGGTCCTAGAGAGAGTGTAGGGCTGGGGGGAGCATAACTCAACATAATAAACTCTGTGACAACACCACAGCCAACATCATCCTAAGTGGAGAAGAGCTCAAAGCAACCCCATTAAAATCAGATATAGACAGTGCTGTCCCCATTCCTTAAATGTGCAGCTTTAAGCACTAGCTGGGGCAGTAAGGGAAGAGGACATCAAAGTGATAAAAATAAAAAGAAGTCAAATTATCATTATTTGTTGGTAACATAATAGTATATATAAATGATCCCAATATTTCATCAGAAAACCTCCAGAAACAATCAATAATTTCAACAAATTGGTAGGATACAAATATAACTTATAAAGGCAGGGCCAGGCATTGGCGGCACGCCTTTAATCCCAGCACTCAGGAGGCAGAGGCAGGTGGATCTCTGTGAGTTCGAGGTCAGCCTGGTCTACAGAGCAAGTTCCAGGACAGCCTCCAAAACAATACAGAGAAACCCTGTCTCAAAAAACAAAACAAACAAACAAACAAACAAAAAGGCAGGGGGTGGTACACGCCTTTAATCCCTGCATTGGGGAGGTAGAGGCAGGCAGATTTCTAAGTTCTAAGCCAGACTGGGCTACAGAGTGAATTCCAGGACTGTCAGGGCTACACAGTGAAACCCTGTCTCTGAAAAAAACAAAAACAAAATCAACTTACAAAAGTCAGTATGCTTTCTATACATCAACAACAAACATACTGAGAAAAAGATCATGGACACAGAAAGAAAATAAAATATCTTTGAATAAACATCTTTGAAATATCACTATAATAAAAACTATAAATCTCTGGAGAGATTGAGGACGATGCTAGAAAATGGAAGACATCCCATGCTCATGGAGCAGTAGAATTAAGCTGTGAAAATGACCATTCTACAAAAGCAATTTACATACTCATTTTGCAATCCCAATAAAAAAACACCCACAACAGTCTTCACATTTCAGAAATTCCCAAAATCATTATAAAAACACAAAGATCTGAGACAGCTTAAAAGATTACCATTCCAAACTTCAGGATACATCACAGAGCCTTATGGCCTTGGCACAGAAACAGACAGGAGAGCAAGGGGACAAGACTCAAGAGCCAAACATGAGTACACCTAGGTACAGCTATCTGATAGCTGACAAGCATGTCAAATACACACAATGGTGAAAAGACAGCAGCTGCAACAAATGTTGCTGAAGACGTGGTGTCCACATACTGAAGGATGAAATAGACCTTGAAGCTACAGGCTCGTTCTTCAGACAGCATAATGGGTAGAGCCATGCTATGAGTACATTGCACTCTTACAGAGCTAGGAGTTTGAACAAGTCTTAAGTTTGTAGCTTCAGGGGGCATGCCTATGCTATGATAGGTTGATGGAGGAAGAGAATGTGGGAGAGTCTGGTTTACTGATGATCTACAGGTTTTGCAGGTACCACATACAAGTGGAGAGCTGCAGCATTACAACCACTGGTACAACCCCGAAAGATGCTGGTGAAGGAAAATCTTCACAGGAGGCAGAACTTTGGGCTGTACATGTGGCTGTATGTTTTGCTTAGAAGGAGACATGGCCAGATCTGTGATTCTTTACTGATTGATACTCTATAGGTAGCCAATGACTGGCTGGCTGGTCAGGGATTTGGAAATAGTATGATTGAAAAAATTGGTGAGAAAAACATCTGGGGAAGCAGCATGTGGACAGATCTCTTTGGATGGGCAAAGGATGTGAAGATACCTGTATCCTGTGTAAATGATTTTCAAAAGGTGACTTCAACAAGGATGACCCACTCTCTGGACAGCCTTCCCTGTCATTGCCCAGTGGGCCACAAACCAAGTGGCCATGGTAGCAGTGAAGATTATGGATGAGCTTCACAACATGGACTTCCACTCACCCAGGCTGATTTGGCTACAACTGTTGCTGAGTGCCAGATCTGCAACAGTGTGGCACTATTCTCCAGGGTGACCACCCAGTGAACGGGTGGCAGGTTGACTACATTGGATGACTTCCTCCATGGAAAGGACAATACTTTGTCCTTACTGGAGTAGATATTCATTCTGGTTATGGGTTTGCCTTTCTGCATGTAATGCTTCAGCCAAAACTACCATCCATGAAATTATAGAATATCTTACCCACCATCATGGTATTTCATATAGCACTGCTTTTGATCAGGGAACTCACTTCGCGGCCAGGGAAATTTAACAATGGGCCCATGCTCATGAAATCCACTGGCCTTACCATGTTTCCCACCACCATGAAGCAGCTGGCCTTATAGAACAATAGAATGGCCTCTTGAAGACACAATTACAATGCCAAGGGGGCCAGTAGCCTGGAGGGTTAGGACAGGGTTCTCCAGGAGGTAGTATATGCGTTGAGTCAGCATCCAATATATGGTATGGTTTCTCTCATAGACAGGATCCACATGTCCAAGAATCAGGGGATGGAAAAGGGAATGATTTCACTCACTATCATCCCTAGTGACCCACTAGGAAAGTTTTTGCTTTCTGTTCTTGAGACCTTAAGCTCTGCTGGCCTAGATAATTTGGTTCCAGAGGTGGAAGCGTTTCTGTCAGGAGACACATGAAACATTCCACTGAACTGGAGGTTCAGACTTCCTCCTGGTCATTTTGGGGTTCTAGTGCCCTTTAACCAACAAGTTAAGAAAGGAATAACACCATTATGAGGGGTGATATATCCATATTACCATGGGAAAATTGGATTGCCTCTCCACAATGGAGGTAAGAAGGATTATGTCTGGAGTGAAGGAGACCCTTTAGGGCATCTCTTGGTACTACCTAGTTCTGTGATTAATGTCAAAGGGAAATGGCAACAGTCTAATTCAGGCAGGATGACAAAAGGTACAGACCCTTCAGGAATGAAGACATGGGCCACCCCTGAAGGAAAAGAGCCAAGACCTATTGAGGTGTTTGTGGGGGTGGAGGAAATACAGAATGGGTAGTAGAGGAAGGTAGCTATAAATGCCAGCTGAGGTCATGTGACCAGTTACAGACATGAGGATTATAACTGACATGAGTGCTTCTGTCATATTTGTTAATAATGTGTTTGTGTGGATATTTGCGTTCTCTTTCCTTAGTTTCCTTACCATGTAATATAATATCAATTGACATAGTATCAGTGCTGATCATACTAAGTTTTGAGATACTAAGAAGAGTCCCTCAAAGGACACTGCCACCTATTCTAAAATATACAATGCATTTGTGGTTGATGTAGATAGTTATATTGTGTTAGGCACAATTATGACCTGGTTATTTTCTTTTGGAAATTAAGCATGGCAGAAGGAGATGTGACTGTGTGTCTAGCTGACAAGGGGTGGACTTGTTATGGCTATTCTTGGTTATCAACAATACTACACCTGGAATTAACTAAAAACCCAAGTCACCTGGCACACCTGTGAGGACTTTTAGCTAGCTGGATCATTTAGTTAACGGCTCCTTGCCTGTGTGCTCTGGCTCTCATTTGAATGGCATCGGAGCCTATTTCTTTGGGATTCTGACATATATTGAAGACCATCTGAGACATCCATCCAGCCTCATGGTCTGAACAGCTACTTGGGAACTTTCCACTGGGAGACAGCCATTGTTGAACTAGCCAGACCACAGCAAGTAAGCCACTCTGTTAGTTCTCTTCCTCTAGAAAATCCCAACTAAGGCAGTAACCAACTGCTGTCTAGTTGGATGAAAGGCCTATGTAACAGGAGGGAACTCATGCCTGTTACTGGAAACACAGCCAACTACTTATAACTAGTGAAGCCATGGATATTGGAGAGCCTACAACCTCCACGTTACTAAACCAGAATAATACCAGATCACATTCTAAATATTTGTTCTTATAGTCACATGGAAGTGTACATCTCACTCTCATCACAGGAGATTGTTTTCACAGCAGCAGGAAAGCCACGAGTGGTGAAAATTTGGAGAACACTGGTCATGGGTGCCCAGCCCCAGCTGATAAGTTTACAACACAATTCTTGCACTTAATACTCAGGAAACATGATAGAAGGGGAGGTGGAAAGCCTTAAGATCCAGAGGACCAGAGAGTTGACCATGAGTTTGTTCCCTCTCCTAGATCTCAGTAAAATGGCTGCCTGAACAAGACTGGAACAACTCCAGTGATTTTTTTTTTTTTTCTGAGACAGGGTTTCTTGTATTGTTTTGGAGGCTGTTGTGGAACTCATTTTGTAGACTAGGCTGGCCTCGAACTCACAGAGATCCTCCTGCCTCTGCCTCCCGAGTGCTGGGATTAAAGGCGTGTGCCACCAACGCCAGGCTTGCCCTTAGATCTTATTCTACGGGTGAGGGTTGAGATTTCCCCATAACTTTAGCAAGTCAAACATCACTGGAAGCCGGGCGTTGGTGGCACACACCTTTAATCCCAGCACTCGGGAGGCAGGGGCAGGCGGATCTCTGTGAGTTCGAGGCCAGCCTGGTCTACAAAATGAGTTCCAGAACAACCTCCAAAACAATACAGAGAAACCCTGTCTCGAAACAAACAAACAAACAAAAGATCTAAGGGAAATTAACAACTGTACTCCATACAGAAGCACGGGGAGGGTTGGTCTTCCCTAGGGATGAGTCTCCTGACTGGCTATCAAAATACTGCATGGTCAGCCCCAGAAACTTACACATGCAAGCATTGTATTTATATGTTCATTTATATGCATAATAATCATGGTTTAAGAGAGTAAAGCCCTGGCTTTGAGGGGGGGAGAGTGTGGTCAGACACAGGAGGGGTAGAATAGGGCAGGGAGAAATGTTATTATATTTTAACTAAGAGTCGTATGAAATCCTCAAAGAATACACAAAAATATTATTTAATAAAAAATTTATGTGTGCGCTTATATGTGCACCTTCATGCACATGACCTCAGAGGACAGATCCCAGGAGCTGGAGTTACAGGCTGCTGGTTGTGAGCCACCTCATGTGGGTGCTGGGTCTTCTGGATGAGAAGCACTCTTAACATCTCTCCAGTCCCCTTTATGGCTTTATATTTTAGTTTACTGTTGCCAATCACTGGGGGGGTTTTATATGGTTCCCATTTTAAAAGCATCTATCGCCATGTGGTATGTTTACACAGGTGCTTCATCTGATTCTGTTGTTGAAGACTGAGCTCACTTTACTGCTGGCACATGTTAGGCAAGCACTCGATAGACTGAGCTACCTTAGTCCTTCCCTCTCTTACTCTATAAAGAAAATCTGCTTTGACGGTTATTGCCTATTTTTGGTTGTGTGTATTGGGTTGCTGAAAAATTGGTTTTTTGGGGGTGCGGTTTTGAGACAGGGTTTCTCTGTGGTTTTGGAGGTTGTCCTGGAACTAGCTCTTGTAGACCTGGCTGGTCTCGAACTCACAGAGACCCACCAACCTCTGCCTCCTGAGTGCTGGGACTAAAGGCATGCGCCACCACAGCCCAGCTTACTGCAAAATTCTTTACCTAAGTCTTTTAAAGTCAAAGAGCCAGGACTCTGGGTCAGGTCTTCTACTCCAAATTCCAATCCAGTTTCCCAAGTTATGAATCTCAGCAAGTGGAGGTAGGAAAAAGGAAAGGCTATGTCCAAGTGCAGTTCTCAAGTGACCAAAATCATTTGACCAGAGTCGTGTTACATCAACTAGTGCACAATGCTGTATGTGTTTGGGAATCTTCCAGTTAGCCTCAGGAAAATCTAACTTTCATTTTTACTCTGCCCTGGAAGTACGTAACTATGAAACCAATGCCTAAGGCTGGTAGAATTCGTTTAACCCAACTGGGTCTCTGTCTTGTAAAAGTTGCATTTGTTGAGGAACACATGTTTGGGCGGGGCTAAGCTACTAAAAACACTGGCTACTCTAGCAGTACCCAGGTCTGGTTCCCAGCACCCACATGGCATTTCACAACTGTCTGCAACTCCAGTTCCACGTGACCCAGTGCCCTCTCATGGCCTCAATGGGCCACGGTCGCACATAGAGCAGACACATATGCAGACAAAAAGCCATACGCATTTTTTAAAGTTTTTTTTCTTAACTTAGCACAACAAGGGGCGAACACATCAGGGTTAAAACACTGGTCTGGGTTTCTCCAACACCCTCCTGCTAAATCTGAGGCGCTAAAACCTGACGTCGTCGGCTTCCACACCTGTATGAAGTCTCTAAGGTGCACTATGGAAGCCAGGTGTCTGTCTGTCTGTCTGTCTGTCTGTTAAAAAGGAAGGTGGATTTCCTCCCGGAGCAGCGAGGGAACGCAATACCAGTCACAGCACAACGCCGTCTAGGGCTCCGACTACAGAACTCACTCGAAGGCGCCCGCTGCAAATGAGGCCGGCAAGGGAAGACGTCGGGGAGCAACGCAATCAGCCCCGGTGCTCGCCGAGCGTCCGCAGGCGCCATCCAAACCTCACGTGCGCGCCAACGGGCCGCGCAGCCGCAGTGGCGGACTTGCGCGCCGAGGGCGGGGCGTGGACTGGGCGGAGCTAGCCCCCAGGCGCGCTGACGCATTGGCCCGCGGCGGAAGGGTGCGGACGCGCATGCGCCGCTGGGGCTCGGACCATGGGGAGGCCGGGCTGCGCATGCGCTTTAAGAGGCCCGGCGGTGGCGGTGGCGGTGGCGGCGGCGGCAGCTGTGAGGGGGTTCCCGGAAGATGGTGCTGATTAAGGAATTGTGAGTGGGTCGGTGGGCTGAAGTGAGGTTCCGGGATGCGGGCTGGGGGACGGTCGGTTGGCTCAGTGTGGGGGGCACTCCCGGGACGCTGCGAGCCCCTTACCGGAGCCCCCGAGGCCCTGTGCGGAGACGCCGCCCTCCGTGGTCCGCGCCAGGCTCGGCGGCGCAGCCGGAGCTCCCGTGGGAGCCGGGAGTGCTTGGCCAGGGGTCGCCCGGAAGTTCATGCCAGAACGCCGGCGGGCTCAGTGGACCTGACCCTGAGGACATCTCCCTGACATCGATCTCTGGCCCCGCACCTCTGAGATGAGGCGACACTGGCCCCACCTGCTTCCCCGGGTTCCGATGCGGCGTTAAACACATGGTGTGGCAAATGAAGACGTCCCCAGGTGCATCGGCCTGGCTCCATGATTTTGTTGAGAAGTTGTGGCTTTTCTCCGCTACTCTTTAGAGCCGTGAACATGACAGGAAACTGGTAGCAGGGAATGTTAGGCTGTCACACCTGAATCAGGGTTCCTTGTTCAATTAGGGATCTCAGGTGTGATCCATTTTGTTGTTGCCCGTACCCCCACCCCACTTTCATTTCAGATTCTTTTATTTTTTTTTTAGGCCCTGGTTTAGCTGTGTAGATAGCTTGTCTGTATTGATGTCAACCGTGTTTTTTTTTTTAAATCACTAACAGTGCCTTTACTTAACACTGCTCAGATTCTGTTTTCTGCTCATACCTAAATTTTCTCTCGCCCGTCTCAGTATCACAAGGCCCCCTTGCTGTTCCTTTGTCGCTCTGCTATAGGCTTGACTCAGGGCCGATCTGTTTCCTTCTCTTTTTGCTGCCTTGAATGCCTTTTCCTCAAGTCAGTTGCTCACCTCGGAGAGTTTGTATTGTTTGTTTTTCTCTGTGTTCTAGAGAGTATTGCAGGGTATACTCACTGTTACCTCCAGTTCTCAGAAACAGAGGTCTTTAGTACTTAGAAGATATTCGACAAACATTTGGTGGGTTTTTTTGTTTGGTTTTGGTTTTTTGAGGCAGGATTTCTCTGTGGCTTTAGAGGCTGTCCTGGAACTAGCTCTTGTAGACCAGGCTGGTCTCAAACTCACAGAGACCCTCCTGCCTCTGCCTCCTGAGTGCTGGGATTAAAGGTGTGTGCCACCCACACCCAGCTTTGGTGTTTTTTTTTAAAGATTTATTTTTATGTGTATCAGTGTTTACCTGCAAGTGTGTATATGCACTGTATTCGTGTGGAGGTAAGAAGAGGACATCGAGAGAGGGGGTATGAGTGTGGGTGCTGGAAACTGAATTCAGATATTCCGAAAGAGCAGCAAGTCCTTTTAGCCACTAAGCCATCTCTCCAGCCCCTCAGCAAACCTTTGTTAATGAATGTTAATGAATTGATAGCAAAATATGGAAAAAAATTAAACTTATGTTTGTGTGTGTATAGGCGGATGCCATGGCATGATTTTGGAGGTAAGGGGACAATTTGAAGGAGTCAGTTCTCTGCTCCCATTAGGGTACTGCAACTGGAACTCAGGTTGTATTTGGAGGCAAGTACCATTTGCCTGCTAAGCCATCTACTACTTTTTGTTAGTGATGGGGAACCTGAAAAAAGGCATTCTTTGCTCATAGTACTGAACTTTGAGCTTGTATGAAAACTTTTTTCCAAGTAATTTTAACAATGTGTCTTACAAGCATCACATTTATTCTAGTGGCGGATATTATGACAGAAGGAGAATTTCAGACAGAAATGGACTTGCCCCAAGCCACATAGCAAGAGAGTTGCAGCACTGATTGAACATTCGGTATTTAGTTGTTTTCAATCTATTAGTTACTTATTTTCAAAATGAGAATTAACTGTTGAGTTAATTCTTTGACAGTTAGGTGAGTGGTCTGCAGACAGAGTAGTCCCGAGTAGGAATTTATACACTATGCATTTTGCAAATCTTCTGAGATTTGTTTTTATTTGTGTCTGCCTAAGGACAGATGCCCATGGAGGCCAGAGGCATTGGATCCAGGTAGAGCTGGAGTTAGAGGTGGTTGTGAGTTGCCTAATGTAGTCGTGTAATGAACTCGGGCCCTCTGCAAGAGCATTCAGTCCCTCTGAGCCATCTCTCCAGCCCTGACTTGCAAACTTTTACTTTGTAAACATTTAAATGCACTAAGTTGGCAAATGCTGATATTTACCCAACACTTAATTAGTTTTCTGGAAGTATTGTATGTTAAAGTTTTTGATGTTTATTCTTCATGGAAGACTCTCCTAGTTTTTTTTTTTTTTTCCCTCCTCCTAGACATTTAAGATAAAGACAGTTTCCTGTTAATGTGTTCTATGTCCAGCACAGTGGAACTACTCAGTGCCATTAAGTGAAGAAGTGACTGTCTCACAGTCAGCTCCATTCAGTTGGTTTTTGATCACAGTGAATAGGTGGTTCCTGTATGAAGACATTGGTAGCGTAAAATGCTATTATAGATGTTTGTTATAAGAGCAAAAGAGTTAAAAATAGTTTTCAGGGCCAAGTGTGGTGATGCATGCCTTTAATACCAGCAGCGAGAGAGGCAGATCTTTGTGAGTTCCAGGGCAGCCAGGGCTATGTAGTATGACCCTGTTTCAGACAAAATAAGACAGGAAACAGCTTTCAGGGAAGACTGGTCCCTTCAGTTATCGAGCAATAGATGAAGTTGCTCTTAGTGTAAAGTCTTGGTTTTAAAGCATTTTTTGCTGGTTCTGTTTGGAAAAAACACTTTGAAGATTTTTCAGAAAAGTTTGTGAAGTTGATTTATCATTCTAAATGTCATAGCCATTTTCATTTTATGAAAGATTTCTCTGAAAATGTTATTGAATGAAAATGGGCATCTTCTCGTAGTGTTAAAATAACCCCCGGCAGTGATTCTTTGGTTTTTGTAAAACTTTGTTGAAGACTTCCTTCCTTCAGTCTCCTCCTCTCTGAAGTGCTACATCTTGGTTTAATCCTTTAAAAATAACTCTTGTAGAGCCCCTCAGAAGACCTCTTTATCTTATTCTCCATGTTCCCAGCCAACTACAGATGATCTCTCAAGATCGGCCATAGCTCTGTCACTCTTGGGAAAATCTCCAGCATTTCCATTGCTTCATTAATGAACTTAATAAATTCTTTATCTTATGTTACAGGCCCTGAAAAATGCATCCCACCCTCCATGTTTCTCGTTCTCCTTTCCCTAGTTTATGTCCTGTACAGTGAGCCAGTAAGTTAGTGTGCACTGTAGGGCAGTGGGTGAGACATGGATGCTTCTTACGGAGGAGGGACCTAACAGCAAGTTTGTTTTCCACCAAGAGGCAGAAGTTTGGGGCTTTTCAGACTTTTGGGTGTTCGTGGTTTTCAGATCACTTACACAGGGAGACAATGACCTGTAGTAGGGAGAGGAAATAAGAGGAAACCTGTTTTAGAAATAAGGGATTTCCTTGTCAAGAATCTGGAGGTAAAAAGCGGCGTTCTGGTAGAAACAACATAGTTGTAGACTTTGAGTCATCTTGTACTGTGTTGTAGTAAAATGGAACTGTAAAGATAACCTTTGTGATGCCTGGACAGGATCAAACACAGATCACCTTACACTGGCCCTGCCTTGGGAGAAAGTATGGTATTTGTAAGGTACAAGGCCGTCTCATCTCCTTAACAGACTTTGTTTCTGCTTGTTCCAAAGCCACCTTTGCTTACTTTTGTCTCTCTAAACTTGAACATTTAGGTTGTGGAGGGACTTTTCTGGGAACATTCATTCATGGACTTCAAAGCATGTCTGTATTCTTGAGAGAAGTATCCAAAATAAAATATATACAAGGTTAGAGAGAGCTCTGTGGCTAAGGGCACTGACTGTTCTCTCAGAAGATCCATGTGGGGTGGTTTGTGGATTCCTGTACCTGCAGTGCCAGGTGACCCCATGCCCTCTTCTGGCTTTTGTGGGTGCTCTTTCATACACATAAAAATAAACTTTAAAACGTGCAGCACATGTGTGTTGAATTGAAACTATACTAAAAATTTCATGAGTGTGTCCTAACAGAGAGTCTACAGACGATGAACTTGTTCATGCTTGCTTCTCCTGCACCAGAATCACCTCTGCATCTTGGGTCCTATGGCAGTGAGGCAGGTAGCCCTGCAAGTTCAACAATGGCGGATGCAGTCTTGAAGTTGAGATCCTTAGGGTACTAGGCTTATAAATATTCACTCCTGTAAATCACATTCTTGTCCACTGTGTCACTAGATTTAAAGTTTCAAGCCAGGTGGCACACACCTTTAAACCTAGCACTGAGGAGGCAGAGGCAGTTGGATTCCCGAATTTGAGGCCAGCCTGATCTACAGAGTGAGTTCCAGGACAGCTGGGGCTACAGAGAGAAACCTTATCTTAAAAAAAAAAAGGAAAAAATTTGAAATTATTAAAGCCATATCAATATGTAACATATATTCTTTTCTTTTTCTTTTTAGTCGTGTGGTTTTGCCGTGTTCTGTTCAAGAGGTAAGTTTTTTTGGTTTTGCTTTGGTTCTGAGCATCCTACTGGTATGATTTACTGATATGTTAATCTATGCTGTTTTTGTAGTATGCATTTGCTTTTCTCTTCTCTTTTGGTCAGTTCTGGGATCTTGACCCAGGTCCTCAAACATGCTAGGCAAGCAGTCTACCAATGAGCTGTATTCTCTGCCTTCAGTTTCTATTTCATACCAGCTTCTGTGACAGAATAATCATGGGTTACAGATAATTGTAAATAAACTTCTGTTATATTGTCTCATTTGGGAAAGTCTGTAGAAAATAGTTTAGCTGGTGTAGAAATTCTTTTCAACACTGTCCCAGAAAAATGAGGTTCCAGCCCCAGTTTAATGTCTTCCTACGTGAGAGAGCCTGCTGCTGAGAAAAAAGGTGGCCTCCTTTACTACCGGACACTTGTCTTTCCACAGAACTTGCTTTTCTGTACCACTCGTGACTTGAGTTAAGGCTTCTCTGTCTTACCTGTGGTAACACTGGAGCTTTTCTGATGGTAGCTCTGCCTGCCAACCTCACCACCCCCAAGACCTTCTGTTCTACTCTTAACAGATCAGAGTTAAACATTCCCAGCACATCCATTTGTGCTAATATGCTGTGACCTCATGACCTTACACAGCTAGCCTTATTGCAACATGCACCATCGTTGTGGCTCTGTACTGAAATGGTATTCCTGATGTGATCTTACCGTCAGTTAACATTGAGATGACGGTTTTGATCATATAGTGGAGGACCTCCACCCTGCAGTACAGATAGCTACCTGTCAGACAAAGCAGAGAGGCTGTCTGAGGAACTCCATGGAGCCAAGCTCAGCCCCCCAGGCCCTTCTGAATGTGAGAGTAGTAGTCCCTCAGCTGACAGTAGATACAAAGCAGAGAGTTGGAAGTTGGACAAAACAAACCGATAAGCTAAGAAGTGACAGGTGACAGAAGGCAGGAAAAGCAGAACTGAGGAAGAGTAGTGGTCTCCTCTCATGCCTACTCGGCACAGCTGCATGGTGGCTGAGCAGGGCTGGGGTTTTACCACGTCACTCAGAGCACTGGGTGCACCAGGCCCTCCTCTGTTTGTATAATTGATTAATTGAGCTCAGGAGTGGAACTTGACATTTTTGTAGGTTTTTTATTTTGTGGGGGGGTGGGTGGCTAGCTGATTGAAACAACTTGTTGAAATCTGGAGTCTTGATGTTATACTCAGATTTAACAAGAAACCGGCACTCACACCCCACCGCTTCTACTCTGAGTCTGAGTTACTCTGTTTTGGTTTTAGGAGACAGGCTTTTTCTGTGTAGCCCTGCCTGTCCTGGAGCTCACTCTGTAGACCAGGCTGACCTCAAATGCAGAAATCCAACTGTCTATGCCTCCCAAGTGCTGGAATTAAAAGTGTGGGCCACCACACCTGACCCTGAGTTGTTTTTCAGATAACACCAATGAGAAGACTTAGTATGCTTCAAGTTACCAATTCATTAATCTTATTTCTTCATTGGTTTTTGTTAGACCAAATTTGTCCTGTTTTCAAGACGTCTTAATCCTCTTTTGAAATCTGACATGTTGAAAGTAGGTTTTGAAGGACTTAAGGAGTGTGACCTTAGCATTAGACTAACCCAAGCAGTAGGTCAGAAAATGAAGGGAACAGCCTTCCCTGCAGTCCAGATCATTTTTGTTTTTGGTTTTTCAAGACAGGGTTTCTCTGTGTAGCAGCCCTGACTGTCTTGGAACTCTGTAAACCTGGCTGGCCTCGAACTCACAGAGGCCAGACTGCCTCTGCCTTCCAAGTGCTAGGAATTAAAGGTGTGTACCACCATGCCCCGCTCAATCTAGAGTCTTAAGTAGATACTTGGGAGCACCTAAGGAATTTCTTTAGTTCAGCCTTTCAGACCCTTCCAAATCAAATTGAGTAATGTGGGGTGGGGATAGGCCTATTAAATTAGCCAGCATAACATTGTGTTTTGGAGGGGAGTATTTCCTGGGCGTTTGGTGATTGTTTTATTCTTACAAATATAATTTTAGCTTTGAATTATGAGTTCTTAGAGGTAAAATTTGTGCCTTTTCTTTAAAAATGAAGAAGAAAAATGCTGCTTTAAGCTGTCTTAATCAAATTTGAAGAGACTGGCAGTAGTCCCATGGTTTAGTCCCTGGAACAAGTGAGATCTTAAGCGCCTCAGTTTTGCCACTTATGGTGACTGTGCTGTCAGTGCACAGTCCAGTACCGCTGACTCATGGGAACTGCCCTGCCACTGAGAGCCCTGGCTGGCTATGAACTAGGAATGACTGGGCACACCAGCCTTTCATGCTAATGCTTACATGCATATATATCTAGAAAGTTTGTGCTTATGGGAGAATTATATTGAAAAGTTCTCATCTTGGATACATAATACTGGCACTTGCTTCACCAGTCCTAGAAGAGACCCCAGAACTGTGCCAAAAAGTCTTATCCTACCACACAACATACTCTTCATTACCAAGAATGGAGAGTTAGATGGTGGCTCAGACTTAAGGTTACACTCCTAAGATGTAAGAGAAGTAAAACTGTTTTCACAGGGTGGTTCAAAAGTTGAACTTTTCTTGATGCATGTTATTATGTAAGTGAGGTGTTTGTAACTGTTTGATGGTGAACCATGGGAGTGATTCAATCATCTGGCATCTGTCATTTGAGTTTTCATGTAGAACGCGTGCTGAGTGGTTTGCTTGGACTTTCTGTGTCATCTTTATTAAAGTCTTTGCATGGGAAAGTTCTACAGCTTTTAATGACTTAGTAAAACTCTGCTCTTTGGAATTCCAGTATCAGGTTGGACAGCTTTACTCTGTTGCAGAAGCGAGTAAGAATGAAACTGGTGGTGGAGAAGGGATTGAAGTCTTGAAGAACGAACCTTATGAGAAGGATGGAGAGAAGGGACAGTACACCCACAAAATTTATCACCTGAAGAGGCAAGTAGGGTTTCCACCTGTGACCTGCCTCACCTACCTGGCCTCGTATGAGTAGGCCTGCTCAGCTATAATATGCGTGACCATGTGTTGTGCTTCAACTTACTGTGGGCCCCCTCGTGTTTATACTCAGTTATACAAGTGATATGTCTGCCTGTAGCAAAAGTTCAAACAGTAGGGAGGACTATAAAATTACAGCTTCATCCTTAACCTGGAGAGAGATGGTTAGCTCTTATTGAAGACCCTGATTTGATTCTCAAAACTCACGTGGTGGCTCACAGCCATTTGCCACTTTAGTTCCAGGAGATCCAGCACCATGGGTATCAGGTACACATGTAGTTCACATACACACATGCAGGCAAACCATTCATATGTAAGGTAAAAATATATAATTCATCTCATTCCTTGTCATCAGTGTCTGTAAAAAGAGAAACACTTGAAACACTTATCCTGGTTTTTCCTTGTTTTTGTCTGATACCTATAGGAGTCTTTTTATTTTTATTTATTTATTTATTTTATGTGTATGGGCATGTAGGTTCTAGAGCAAGTGTGTATGCCATTGTTTGTGGAGAGGCCAGAGTACAACTCAGTATTGTACTCAGAAATGATGGCCCCATTGGGATAGGGTGTGTGTATTGACCTGGACCTCACCAGTTTTACTGGACTGACTGGTACTTGGATTTTGGGTACAGGCCGGTGTGCCCCACTACATTGACATGGTTTGGGGGATTGATGTCAGGGTTTTGTGCTTACAAGACAAGAATTTCATCAATTGAGTAACCTCCGCCAGCAGCCCCTGTGTGAGTCTTTTTAAAGGCAAGTAAAATTCCCTGGTATAGGCCCAGCATAGTTTATTTACCTATGTCCTATGTGGTCGGAATGAAGAGTCCCACATTTTAGGTAATTTGCAGTTTAGTACCTTTTAGGACAAAGAAGGATCGCTGGAAACTGCTGGAAAGCTGTGACAGTTTAAATTGTCCTCCAGAGCTCCATGTAATAATCTTGGATAGTTTTCTGTTTGGAATTTTTGCCAGTTTCACTTGTGATTCTTCATGAGTGTGGTTGGATGTGTGATGGTAGGGAGATCTGTGTGTCTGGTAGGGTTTTCTTTGTTTTATTAAGTTCTTTTGTGCGTTCATCTTAAGCTTGAGTCTTATCCATACCTTTTCCTTTAGATGTTTTTTTTTTTTTTTTTTTTTTTTTTTGAGACAGGGTTTCTCTGTAGCTTTGGAGGCTGTCCTGGAACTTACTTTGTAGACCAGGCTGGCCTCAAATTCATAGAGATCCGCCTGCCTCTGCCTCCCGAGTGCTGGGATTAAAGGCGTGCACCACCAATGCTGGGCTTCCTTTAGATGTTTTACAGTAGGAAATGCATACCCGAGAGTAGAGATGGCTCTAAGTCCTTTTGCAGACCACCTCCCTTTCTCTTAAGGTTGGGAGGGCATCTCTCTTGTCTCAGTTTTCTTCTCTGTACATCCAAGTAAATCTTACTCGTATTCCTAAAGCACCTTGAAATTGTAGGTGAGTTTAGGTGGTTACTTTGAATTTTATCATAATTTTCTTTTATAACGTTTTATTTTTGCGGGTGTGTATTGTGTGTCACGAGAGTGGAGTTGCCTGTGGAGGCCAGAGGAGGGTTCAGGGTATAATGATCTCCACTAGACTGGAAACTGAACTCTGGCAGGTACTTTGTCTCAACCACTGAGCCTCTATAATTTTTGATTAATTCAGTTCTATGAAGAGCTAGAAGTTCCTAAATGAAAGCACTGAACTCTTTCTGGCAGTGCCAAAATAAGCCAAAGGGTTTAATATGTAAAATTTTGTATTGGTCTTTGATATCCCCTTATAGATTACTATTCCAAATGTGAAAACATGAGCTTGTTCCATTGCTGTGACAAAACAACATGACCAAAAACAAATAGGCGAGAAAAGGGTTCCTTTGGCTTAGAAGTCACAGTACATCGTGGAGGCAAGCCAAGGCAGGAGTACCAGTCACCAGCCTGCTCCCCCTGGCTTGCTCAGCCTGCTTTCTGTAGCACCCAGGACCACCTACGCAGGGGTGGCATCTACCCAGAGTGGGCTGGAGGCCCTCCCTCATCAATCATTAATCAAGAAGATGCCCTTACAGACTTGCTTGCAGGCAATGTGGTAGAAGCCTTTTCTCAGAAGTTCTTCACTAGCTTGTGTCAAGTGACAGAAAACCAATCAGGACACATCTTGAAATAAATGTGTACTATCTTTTGTTTGAAACCTAAAAGCTCAGATATTAGAAAAATGGCACCTTGTTGTGTAGAAAAGTTCTGTTACTGGGCCATTAGGTATTCATATAGTGTTCCATGTTTTTAAAACCTAATCAGATAAAAAGCCTAGAAAGTCATTAAAATGTTAGGAATGTTTATCACTTCCTGCTGAGATATGGGTGATTTCATTTTTATGGGAGAGAAGACTATTAAATACCATTTTTGAAACATCTGATTTAGGTAACTCTCCAGCCATAAATAATGACTCTTAGTTGAAGAGAGCTATAAATATGGTCACTGCAAGTGATATTATCGCTCAAGAAGCTTATTTGGGTATAATAGAACTTTCAGACTTGGTAGTACAGGGTCTCTGGATGCTGCCTTGCTGTGTTCTTGGTCTCCTTGATCAGCATCTTCATTACGGAAGGAACCAGAGTCATTCCACAACACCTTTTCTGTGTACCAGTCCCCAGACAGGCAGCTTATGAGTTTTGTACCAGGAGACACGGGAATACACACTTGCCCCAGTACCACCAAAATATAAAACATACAAAAAAAAAAGAGCAGTAACCCTTATATAGCTAAACTCTCTTACCTTTTTTTAAATAACTAAACTTTGTTAATCATTTTTAACAATAACTTGGTACAGGATTATTTGGGGATTAAAATAAACTGTTAATACTGCCCACCTCATCAGATTTGGAATGTGGTAACATTCTTTGATAGAAACAAAAACGATGGTGCAGTTGAAAACATATCCAATATCTTTCTCCTCACAGCAAAGTTCCTGCATTTGTAAGGATGATTGCTCCCGAGGGCTCCTTGGTGTTTCACGAGAAAGCCTGGAATGCTTACCCCTACTGTAGAACAAGTAAGCTGATCCCCGGCAGCACTGGGCCCCACTGCCCTTATGAGTGCCCCAATCTCGAGGGTTAGAGCAAGCAAAGCAACCTCTGGGGTCTCAGGTAGTCACTGCTTCACTGCTTGGGTGATGGCCAGGGAGCCACTGGTTTCCTTCTCAGACCTGTGTGTAACCCTTAGTTCATTCCCAGAGGACAGCCATACAGTAGTCCTGCTGACTGCTGGCTTTAACACGTAAACATGGAAACCTTAAAGGTTATGTGCACCCAAGGTGCCTTTTGGTGCTCCAGCAGCCCTCTCAGAAAATGTTACAGATTTGCTTTCCAAACCAGCTTCATAAATGATGTTATGTTTTTGTGATATTCTTATTAGCATTATTTTAAATTAAGGTAGATTATTCTTCATATTGTCCTTGAATTCCATAGTCTTAATCAAGATCTCTTGGTGTCACTTATGTAGAGACCATTTTGAAGATGTAAGCTACTAAGTGTTATGTCTTTGGGATAGCTTAGTCCACCTGACATAAATATGGGGACAGGCTGTTTTGACTCCATCTAATTGAAGTTTTTCCTGTTTTGCTGTCCGCCTCGTGTCTCTGCCTCAGTTGTAACGGTGAGTAGCACACACTGTTCTTCAAACTTTGTTTTTGCATCCTGTTGATTCCCAGCTGCTACTGGCTTTTCGCTTGAGCTCCCATCGTCAATGTATCCTCCCCCTACCGTCCCCACCTCATGTCCCAGGCTTGCCTCACGCTCCTTACTGGTTCTCCTTCGCTTTTGCTGCTGCTTTGAATGTCCAAATTGTTCAGCAAACCTCTGGGCTTTCTCTCTCTGCCCCTGCCCTGCACAATGAGTGGGGGTGCTTGGATTATGTAAAAGCATCGTTTGCCATACCCAACAGGCCTCTCAAAAATCTGGAGCTGGAGATTCAGCTTGGCTGTTGAGAGCATGGGTTGCTCTTCCAGAGGACCCAGGTTCGGTTCCTAGCACCCAAGTAATAGCTCACAACCATCCATAAATCAAGTTCCAGGGGATCTGATGCCCTCTTGTGACCTCTGTGGGTACCAGACACACGTGTGGCCCACATACATAGATGTAGGCAAAACACTCATACACATAAAATAAAGCAAATCTAAAATAAAATGGGAAGTTCATGGCTCTGGATTTGGAAAGAGATTCACATGGGGTTGCTATGTGGGGAAAGACTCCCACAGAACTGTGAAGCGTGCATCACTTTCTCGTGTTCTCTACAGAATGAATATATGAAAGATGACTTCTTCATCAAAATCGAAACATGGCATAAACCTGACTTAGGAACCTTAGAGAATGTAAGTTTCCACTCTACACTAAAAGGGTGGGGGCATGGCTGCTTCATGGAGTGCATTGAAAACCACTGCTCTAGCCCCTCATGCAGCTTGATGAAGTGCATTTGTCATGTTATTTTTGTTAGCATAGAATGTAAGGGTTCTGAGCACTATGCTTATATCACGCTCATTAAACAGGCAAGATACATTCTGTTACACAAATCACCTCTTAGTGTGCTATAAAATAGCCCTGGCAGATTTCTCATGGGGAAGCAATGCAAAGAGTAAAAACTGTCCAGATCTCAAGATTACCAGCTACTGCCTACTGAAATAGCAATTGCATCCCCATACTTATATCCTGAGGGACTCACGCGCTAAGAAGACATATGGAAATGTAGCATTTTTCCTGAAAAAGAACATGCTAAAGTTTTCTGTTTCTCACAGGTTCATGGCTTAGATCCAAACACATGGAAAACTGTTGAAATTGTCCACATAGACATTGCAGATCGAAGTCAAGTCGAACCAGCAGTGAGTACTACCCGATGGCATCCTGATTTGTCCCCTTCACGTCTCACAAAGTTTTCTGTCTTTCACATACTCTGCATTTCTACACTGAAATGATCCTGGCACCCAGGACTGGTCTGGGCAACGGGGACCCTGGAAGAAGGGGAAGTGACCATTTTCTGTGCCATAGGCAGGCCCTTTAAGAAAGGGAAGAGTACTTCACATATGTTGGGGAATGTTTGCTCAAGAAATGTTTCCAAAACTACTCTGTTTTCTGCTTTAAAATCATGAAGATCTTCTGTACTTTTATACTAAGTATGAGTAACTATGTTTAACAGCATGCTATTTTGATTTTGGCTTTTTAAGCTTCTTGAATTTTTATGTGTGTTTATTGCAATTGCACATCACACATGGAGGCCAGAGGACAACTTTCCTGAGTTGGCTCTCTCCTCCCACCTTCACATGTGTTGTCAATGGAGTCAAACTCATGTCATCAGGCTTGGGTGGCAAGGACCTTTTACCTACTGAGCCATCTTGCTAGCTCCTACATTTTGATTCTTCTAAATGTACCTGCACCTGCCTCTTCTGACCTAATCTCCCCTCCAGTGCCAGGTGAAGACTTCATTTATTCTGGTTCCCTGGGGTTGGCAAATACTAACTTAGGCCTATAGTATGCAGGTACTCTATTGATCGTGCACATTTTATAGCTAGGGTGGCTCATATGCTTTGTTCATGGACAGGGCATTCAGTGTTCCCTACCATTCTGTTTCTAGTGCGTAGTCTCTGAATTTGAGCAGTGTTGTGAGCTCAATAGAATAGAAATAGCAAATGCAAACTGTCCGCTTTACTGTTGAAATTTAAAGGTGAGTCTTCTAAAGCAAAGGTCTCTGACCTTTATCAGGAACACCTGGGGTTGAAGTTAATAGTGACTGGGCTGGACACCGCTCTTTTAGGGTCCCTCCCTGCTTAGAAGTTTCATTGTTGGGCTGGGGAGATGGTTTACTGAGTATGGGCCTAGTGACAGACTGATATCTGAGACTGACCTCTGGCCTCTGCACACACAGAGACCACTGAAAAGTAATTGTGGGGGTGATCCTGGGGCTTGTTTGTTTTTAATTGTACTGTAATTTGAAGTTACCTGAATTTCAATGATATTTCCATCTTTGAAATTATGTAAAGGAAACTATTTTAGTCTGTTCAAGCAGGGAATCATTCAAATGGTGTCTGCTATTTTCGTTGGGGGCATCTTTTAGCCATTATTTACTGTATGATAAAGAATGGTGAAAGAAAGAGAAGTATCTAGGATGAAAGAGGCAGTTAGTCAGCAGGTTGGCTGGGTACCCAGCGTATCTGGTCACAGACAAGGAGGAAGAAGAGGATTGTGGCGAGCCAGGATTGGTTGCCTTGGGAACAGCATTAATAATACATTGGTAACTGAAGTGATGTGTTGGCCAACAGAATAAAATGGTGACATCAACTAACCCTGGACCTACGTGATTCAGTAGAGTATAGGACATGCATGGCTCTGCTGGGAGCATGAAGTTTGTTCTTGTCCTAGGACAAAAGTAGACAGTGTTTGAGAGTGTGGCCAAGGCAGCCTTCTGCTCTGCTACCTTGCAGTTGAGAAGACCCTGCGTTTGCAAAGGCTACACAGGTGGTTCTGTGGGGATGGTGTTTGGGTTGGATGGTAATGGAAAGAACGGATTGGACCCGGGCATTGTGATTTGGTGGAGATGGTTGTGACCAAGAACACTCAGTCTAAAACAGGCTCAGATTCAGAGTCTGAGGCTCTGACGCCTACTGCCTTTCTTTCTGATCTTAGACAAAGTCTCGAGACCTCCTGTACACAGCTGTTTAATCTTGGGCAAACAAAGCTGACTGCCACACAACACTAAATGTAGGCACTTGGTAGTAACTCAGCATGTGCAGGCCTAGCTGCCATTGCTAGCTGCATCGTGCAAGTGTCTGCTTCAGTGTCACTAGAGACTGTATATGAGTGCTCACCTGGAGTTTTTTTTTTCAAATTGTGTGCACGTGTGCAAAGATGTACTTTTTATGTGTATGTGTGTGCATGTACTCACACATGTGCATGTGGGTGCTTTGGTGTTGCACCCGCCTCGACCAGCAAGGAAGACGCAATGCCCAGACTCTTCTTTAAGCAGTTTATTCAGGAACCTTGAACAGTCTTCTCCCGGGGAGCGCCAACCCACAGCTTAAAAGCCCTTGGGCGGCCAACCCCAGTATGCCACGTGGAACATGCAGATAGGTCCACGTACACGGAAGCAAGCCTGATATCCAGCCTTAACCAAATACAGGTGTTGTTTATCACAGAGAGCACTTGCTGTCGGGCTAGCAGAAGGCAGAAGCCAGCACCATCTTAAAGGTGCAGCACTTCGCAGCTCTCTACACTTTGGAAGGCCAGAAGAGAGGGTATCAAGTCCTCTGGATCTGGGGTTACAGGTTGTGAGTTGCTTGGGGTGGAAGATGAAGCCAGTGCTTTTTAGCTGCCCAGCCACCTCCCCAGCCCAATTTTCTGTGGTTTTACAGGGTTCATAACTCCTCTTTGCAAAGCTGCACTTCAGATATGAGTAAATGCAAACTTAAAATATATTGATTTCACGGTACCATTTTTTTTGTTGTTGTTGTTGTGATAAAATGCACACAACATAAGTTAGCCTTTGAATTCTCTAAAACTGTACAATGCAGTGGCATATTGTGTATTCACAGTCATTACTGTATAGTTCTGGGATACTTTTGTTACCCCAAGAGGATACACTGTATCAATGCAGGTATCCTATTCCCCACTCCTTCTTAACCCCAGCCTTTTGAGGCCACTGGGGTTTTCCTGTTGGGTATTTCCTGCACCACATGGCCTGCTGTGTCTGGGTGCTGCTTAGACTGTGCGTGGTTTCAAGTTTCATTTGTATTGTAGCATATGCCCATGCCCACCTCTTCTTTAGGCTTGACAGTATCACACTGGGTGATAGATACACCACATTCTGCTCAAGCTTTCATCAGTGCTGGGCACTGTGGCTGCTTTGATGGTATCAAGTGGGCATTAGGATCTGGATACTTCCTGCTTTTGCTGCAAGCACATCTCTTCACCTCACAGCAGCTCACAACAAAACTTTTTTTTTTTTTTTTTTTTTTTTTGGTTTTTTTGAGACAGGGTTTCTCTGTATAGTTTCGAGGCTGTCCTGGAACTCACTCTGTAGACCAGGCTGGCCTCTAACTCACAGAGATCCACCTGCCTCTGCCTCCCCAGTGCCAGGATTAGAGGCGTGCGCCACCAACATCTGGCTTCACAACAGAACTTTAAAATGATAGAGTTTATTTTCTTCCTGCTGTTCACTTTATAAGAAATGAAACAGTTGCACTAATAATTTTGAGAAAATAGGTAGCCAAGGCCTGGCAGACTCAGGACAAATGTAAAATAGTTCTGAGTGGAGAAATAAGAGTTTGAAAGGAAGCCTGAGTCTTCTCACTCCATCTAGTGGAGCTCTCTGTCACTGCAGGTGGGTTTGGTCCAAACATTTCCATTCAGAGGGACTCTGCTTGCTTTAGGGTCTCCCTCTGCTGGGCTCTTAAGTGGCTCAAGGTTCACTGCTGTTGACTTACCGTGTTTGCTCTTTTCTTAGGAGCTGGATTTTACCATGTATTGGAAGGACTGTGATTTGACCCCTGGTGTAGCTGCATACTTGACTCAATGCTTTGACATGTTTGTGTAATTGAAGTGGCATTGTCAGAATAACTCTAGAAGCAAAGATTTGTTATAAGAATCTGTCAGTGTGACTTAGGTTCACAGCATAGTTGCTATAGGAACCATATGCATGTAAATATGTAGGTTATTAAGGGTATTCTGTTGCTGCCTTTTGGAACAATTTTGTAAGACTTGGTTTAGATGCATTATTTTTTAAAGAAACCAGTGGGCTGTGTGATATTTCTGTATAAATATCTCACTCAGTTTCTTTTGTGCATTAGATTGTATTCACCTTGCAAAACTGACTTCCTGCTTGAGAGAAAGGCATTGAAGTGGTGTGCCAGTAAAGGCTTGTACCATCCAAGGAGGAAGGGTCCTTCCTCATCTCTGGAGTTGAGTAGTCTTAGAGTACTCACACTGTGCCAGCAGAATACCTCTGCCCCTCACACCCCGTATCCAAGGCCCCGTGTTCCTGATCCCATCCCATGCCTTCAGTTTCTCAGTGTGTCATCACCCTTGGGCCAGGGCAGCACTGTTCTCATCTGCATTTCATCCACCTAGAAAGGGGCATACTTCTTGATGTGGGGTGAACTTTCCAGGGGAGCTTTGCTGGACTTTTGTTGTTGTTTTCTGTAGTAGTTGTTTGCTGGCTCTGTTGTTGCTGCTGGTGTTTCTATCAGGAGGTTGGGGGATCAAGACTACTTGAGCCCAGGAGTTTGAGACCAGCACGGAGAGACCCCCACCTCAGAAAAACAAGATAAAAAGAAGCAAGAAGGGAAAGAAAGAGGCTGAGTTTTATTGTGCAGGCAGTAATGGACACAGTTTCCTGATCCTGCACTGTAGAAACATGATGCTGCCTGCCTGCACTGCAAGGATTCTGAACTGCTACTTGTGATCTGTTTTTGTTCAGGGTAAAAGGTGTCTTATTAGATTGTAAAGAGTCAGCATGTGCCTCATAAAATATCCAAATGTAAGTTTAGAGATCTCCCCCTTCTCGGGTGGTTGATACATAGCCGCAGCAGAGTGTTTGGGCTTCTTTAGCTGCCCTGATGAGATGCTCAGGCGTAGCCTCAGCTCATTTCCAGGATGTACACAAACGCAGCACTTGACATCTGCTTCTGCTTTGTTTCCTAAGGTATAACATTTGAATGTGGCCCCTTTAATCATGCCCAGCACTCTGTCTAAGTAGCTTTCCATGATTTGTATACAAAAGTCACTTCCCAGGAGAGGAAGGCTCATGAGCTTGAAGTGTACACACCACTACCAGCAGAAACCTTCAGTTTGGAAGTAATTTAAAAGAAATGAGCACAGTTTTGAAAAGAGA